ACTCTGACCCTCGGTGGAAACGTAGTCCATGTGAGACCAACGATGAAACCAACGGTGAAGCCAACAAAATGCATTCAACGAACACGTCCACGGTACGCGACTGGCAGGTACCCTTACCATGTTTAACCTAAAATGAATCTAACGGGAGAATTTAACGGAGAGCCAGCCCGTCGTCGGCGTTCCCGGTGTCATTCGCAGCTGCCATTCGGGACGCGCCGCAGGCGCGACCATCGTCTACGCGAGTCACACGTGAATCCGACGTCGTCCGGGGTGAGAGAGAGCGACCGGTTGTGCACCCTCTCCGTATTTTTAACCATTTCACGGGCGGTAAACCTGGTCGAGCGGGTGTAGCGGGGCGTCTCGCACGCGCGCGGCCGCGGCTGATCCCTCCCCCGAGGGATCGATACCGCTCGCCACTCGCCGGCGACGCCGGGCGGGCGCGAGAGCTCGATAAGTCTCGAAATTCGAATTTTGGCGAATGCCGCGAGGAGCTCGACGACGGCGAGCTCCCCAGCTCCCCACATAGCGCATCGCGTCGCGCCGCGGCGGCGGCTTCCATTTTGAGGGACCCGATCCCCGGCTTGCGGAGTGCGTCTCGCGTCATCTCGTACGGCGCGCGCGTCTCGGCGTCTCGGCGGCATCTCGATTCCGTCATCGCCAAGTGGCGTCCGCGATAAGGCGGTCAGGCGGTGAGCAACGGCAGCCAGGATGCAGGGCACCATAATCGAGAATCTCAGCGGCAAGAAGCTCTCCGTGCTGGTGATACTCCTGATAATCGCGCAGATAGTCTGCTTCCTCATAGGCGGTCTGATCGGTGAGTCAGAGAGCGTCGTGCACGTGGATTTTCGCGACGACACGCTCGCGTCGTCCTCGGCGTCGTTGCCGTTCACGTAGCAATAAATCAATGAACGTATCTGTGTAAATACGTTGTAAATATAATATCCTATTTTCCTTTTTCATTCTACATTTTATTATAGACAGTGTAGCTATTTTTACGTAACTCGTTACAGGCTCCTTATTAATCGTGTTTTCTATTTAATTTTGGAATTGTATACAGCTATTCAATATAAATCTCTGTTCATCTCTCTGCCAGTTGAATTCTTTTCATTTCTTCAGCTCATCATTTCTAGAGACTCGAGAACTTTTCTGTTCTGCAGCCCATCGACACGCTTGAAAACGACCTATAATTCCTGCCAGTATTTGGAGTAAAATTCCTTTTCGCTTGTTAATTTTCATTACCGAGAGTCCTTAGTTAATTATCCATTTATTTGAATGGAATTCTGCTCGTAACTTTATGTACTGTACGAAATAAAAGGATGAAGACTCAGGATTACAGATGTACAAGGTGTATATTGAAGTACGTACGTCAGAATGTGCGTATATAAAATTGCGAATAGAAAGTAATTATCTAGAATATATTAGTCATGAAAAATATCAAGATGACATGATTTTTTCATCATTTTTTATGCACCATGGTGACACCAAATAGCCCACCGAGGGCACCTATTTGTGACGTCGTTAAGACGTCAAGATGTTGTAAAAGTTATCTTGTTTTACAAAGCAAAGTTAATTAAATATTATACGTAAAAAATAAATTGAAGTAATATAAGATAAACATAATATATGACTGATCATGTAATCTGTAATAATATATTATTATACACATCACGAATATCATAAAACAGCATGTCATAAATCAGTGATTGCAAAGTAAATCTTGATGTCGATCATTTTATGACGTAAAATTCATCAATAAAGTAGGACAATTGTTCCCACGTTCTGGCCATTTATCTCATTTAATACACAACGTTTCGACACTGAAGAGGACAGGAATTCACTGTCGAAACGTTGTGTATCAAATGTGATACATTGCCAGATACGTCGGAACAATTGTCCTACTTTATTTATGAATATCACTTGCAAAGAAGTTGATATTAGTACTAGTACATTTTATTGATTCCCCTTAGGGTTACAAGGCGTTTTTGAAGGAACGTGCCCAAACCTCTTTATAACACTCTCTCTATATCCACTTCGCTATGTGGCGATCGAACGAAAAACCAACAATGTTTTTGTTTGGTTTTGAACCCGGGTCTTCGGATTACCAGACCAGCGCACAATCCTCTGCGCCACGATCGCCACCCTTGAAGTTGATATTAATTGTTGTAAAATTCATCATTTTAATGTCACATTGACGGTTTTGTGATTAACTTGTTCTACTTGGGATGGATCTTATGAAGCAGTCTTTAGAGTAAAATCTTATTTATAATTTTCTGCGCTCCGTATCTCGATATATATATTTCATACGCTCGTGCATTTTCTGATACTTTAGACGTCTTGGATGTCATGTGAAATTACAAAGAGAGAACAGTATCCTGAATTCCGAAGCAAATTGTGAATCTTTTAAAGTGGCCTTCAGGACTGAATTCTGTTTATAATTCGATATGTTTATATTCGATCCTATATGCCCGGTGCATTTCAATTTCCACACGTATATTGATTCTTCAAACGCTTTTCGTATTACATGAAATTACAAATAGATATTATAAATAAATTCAAGACGGTCCTGAATATAAGACCCGACTATGAATACCAGTCCTAGTGTACGTGTACAGCTAGTACATTTTTATCAGAATTAACTGTTTTCAAATAAATTTATATAAAACATATAAGGCACGTTTCTTTTTAGCGCCTACACCTGCCAGCAGTCAGAACATTCTTGGCACTCCGTGTAAAGTCGTCGGTGTGAATGAATCTCACGATGAAAATAAATGGTTTTATTCAAGAGGAGAAGGTTCCTGCACTCCCGTCGACATGCATCACTTCACTTTGGATACTCATCAGCAGGCTTATCAAGTTGTATACACATTTCAGGTATAATTTACAAAATTACGTGCAACTAGTAGTTTACAAAGGGGCGTCGAACTGTAAATATTTAATAAATCCCGTTTCTTTTCAGATGCCCGTGCCTCGGAACAGCATGCAGCTTGACTATTCGAGGTGGCAGCAAAATTTGATAGGCGTTTTGCAAGTGGATATATCTTATACCAATCAGATCGAAATCGGTAATGTATCTGTCTGCTGCTGATGAAATGTTTTTTTTGTTAGCTGTGATTCTGACTCTCTCTCTCTCTCTGTAGCTCCTAGGACGAAGATAACATTGGACGCACGGCTGGCGTATCGCAATAAGGGAGATTCAGATAATGCATGGAAACCATACGCCGCTTCTATCGTGGAGAGAATGTTGGACTGCAGCATAGACAAGGTAGGTTGTTCGCTCGTATTTCATTAGTGAAGATTTGTTTCGCATGCACGAAGACAAATTTCTAAATGTCAAATTTATTCCAGCCACTCGAGCAATACAATTACAACTGTAGCGTTATGCCATTGTTCGAATTAGGATCTTTGTATCACGATTATTACCTGTTGAATATTCGTCTTCCCTCTGATACTGAGAAAAACCAGGGATTGGGACACATTGTTGATTTGTGGCTTACAGTAAGTATCGGAATGTAAAATTCTTATGACATTTTGGGCAATTCGATTGAAGCTTATTTAAATTCGATGTATTTGTGATGTTAATCTAGGCTATTAATCAAAATGGCGGATTCACGAAGGTGTGGGTGAGTCTAAAGACCATTTATTTCCCAGTGGTGCTAGGTGTTTTGGCCTGGTACTGGAGGAGAGTGTACATGCTATCCAGGTCGCCTGCTCTTTTGGAGTACATGCTCCTAGCTTTGGGCTCTGCATTGACATTTTTAAATCGTACGTTAATTGCTCTACGCCTTATTTAGAATACTTCCAAGTTTCCTATTTACGCATATTTATCTATAAATTATTACGTACATTTTCAGTGCCGTTGGAATATTTAACACTTGCTTATGATATGCCGTTCATGCTTCTGCTGGGTGATATTCGACAAGGAGTATTTTATGCAACGTTATTATCATTCTGGCTTGTATTTGCTGGTGAACACTTGATGGTAAGAGAATTGAGTGTTTACTACTTAAAATTGCTCTAATCATCGCAGTAGTAATAACTCGTATCTTTTTTGTTTTGCGTCTACACATCTTGGATTTCCTTAGATTCAGGTAAGTTTTCCTTTATCCGTATGAATCTTTATTTTCTTAATGCAGGAAGTTACTGAATCTGATAACGTACGTTTTAGGAGGGTGAACAAAGCAATTCATTAAAATGTTACTGGCGGCATCTCTCTGCAGTAGGTACCGGTTGTCTCTCGCTGTTCGTATTCGATATGTGCGAGCGTGGTGTACAACTGAGAAATCCATTCTACTCAATTTGGGTCACTGATCTCGGCACGAAATTGGCAGTATCCTTTCTTAAATTATCCGATATATCTTTTTTTTAAAGAAAAAGTAAAAGAATTTTTTAAAATAATTTTCTAGATTAATTTCCTTAATCGAATCATATAGTTGTCTTTCATTATCTTGGCTGGCATATCGGCCGTAGTATATCTGATATTCTTGTCTTATATGATATGGAAAGTGTTCATGAACATTAGCGCTAAAAGAGCCGTTTTACCTAGCATGAGTTCAGCGCGACGTCTGCATTACGAGGGCGTCATATATCGGTTCAAATTCTTAATGATCGCTACATTATTGTGCGCGTCATTAACCGTCATTGGTTTTATACTCGGACAGGTAAGAAATGTCAATACATTTCAATTTTGTATAATTAATTGCATTAATTATATATGCATAACATTTTTTTTAAACAGGTTGCAGAAGGCCAATGGAAATGGGACGAAGATTTACAATTGGAAATGACTTCTGCCTTTTTCACCGGGGTATATGGAATGTGGAATATTTATATCATTGCATTATTATGTCTCTATGCGCCTTCCCATAAGCAATGGCCAATTGAACCATCTGGTAAATATACATTTCTATTTATAAATTAAATATACAGATTATTGTCATCGTGTTAACGTTAGGTCTAAAGGATGGGTAAAATAACGTGACTTTGGCCGACTCCGTGAAATCTTTCTCATGCACGTTTTTATCATTTTAATATGTTGAATTGTTATCAAACGTTTATTCCAAGCCGATGTGATTCCACTGCCTCGGTCAAAATCAAGTTACTTTATCCGTCGTCCTTTGTCGATACATTTGTGCTAAGACGTGAGGTTTTAACTTTCAGAGAACAGTATTAGCGAAGAAATCGAATTTTCTCCCTTGCCAACCGATCCTAATGAGATGCTGTCCCTGACTGCATTTGCACGAAAAACAGCCATAGAGTAAAGTACATACGTCTACCTGTGTACATTTTGTAAGAAATCGGGCGACATACTACGAAGTCTACTTAATACTTAATGTACTTAGTTGTCATAAGTAGAACTTGTAAGTAGAACTGTACTTAGATTTTCCACTATTTCCTAGGAACGCAATGACTGATAATACTTCTACACACGATTTTATATGCTAAATTTAATTATTTATTGATTCCAACATTTTTTTGTATGTTTTTATATACCTATTTATGATATTGTATTATCTATAATAAGAAAATGTATAAGTCATTTCATCTTCATATTTGTCATAAGCACAAATTTGTGAATGAATTTGACAAGATCTGATTTTTATCCCCTTTACAAAAATTTAGCGTAATACAGTATACATATAAGCTCAAACCCAAATGAAGTGTAACAATCAAAAGAGCTATACAAGAAGTACTAGAATAAAAAGATAGACGTAATCACGTTATTTTAATATAATATCCTCCTTAACATAAAGATGTTATACAAATATTTTCTACACGCTCACTTTATTAATTCAGTAAAAATACTGTATACATGATAATCAAACGTTTCCAAATCAAACGTTTTATATGCGAGCGAGATGAAATGACTTTATGTAGCAAATAGCAGCTAATCTATAATTGAGATAGAATTTACACAGTATTATATGGATGTATTACAAAGCTACTAACGGATAAGCCATATTTTTAACTGCTAATGTATCGATGAAACTTTTCTGTTGCGAGAGAAGGTTAAGGAGTTTTTCCCCTCACATATTGTTTACATATAAGATGTTTAGAACATCTTTCAGTATTATATGCTTCTAGCAATCTAGATAGTATTCCTGCACTAATCTTTTTTTGTATTAACATATGCGACTTGTTTGTTAACATAAGAGCTGTAAGTAATGCATTCTTAAACAGTTAGGTATTCTTAAATCAGCATGCGAAATTTCAATCTTACAAGATCTTGACATTCCAGTTTTACAAGACGGTATAAACATTGTACATGTTTATACCAGTGATCTGTTGCAGTTAATCAGCAACATAATGAATAGAAGAAAGCTTTAGAGCGTACGTTAGAGATAAGGATGAGTAGATTTCGTAAAGTACGATCAACTTATATATTAAGAATTCATATACTTCTCCCATTCACTTGTCATATATTAAGCGTAAGGTGCGTGAAGCGAGAAGCGTAATTTTCACTTTCCAATTCGAACTATATACAAAAAAGCCTCCTATGATATCTCATTATATTATACATATCATTATTGGGCATTCGTCTATCATTTGTAACGCAAGGTATTCGATCACGATTGATAGTATTGCGAGCCAGTGTTCATGATTTATCTTGGCATCTTGAAAGTAACAAGTTTCGTGCGGAAAGTATGTGCCAACTAACTTAGATCTGCCATTCAATAGCGTCCGTTCTTTTTTATTATATATATTGTTACGTATATAAGGTATCGATGCAAGTCTTTCACTTTAGATGCGCTACGCATACAAGGCGTAGTTTGCACGAATCTATTATTTGAAATTAGATCAGGAAAACTGTTTGATATATAACACTTTACAGACGTGTATTTAATGTGTAATGTCGACATGTACTTAGTGTAACACTTGCTATATAGGCACTGAGTATAAAGTAGCATTTCATAAGTAAGGTGCAATAGAGTTTCTCTCCGTACGTCGACTTAATGTTAGTACATATTAATTAAATGATGTAGCGATATTTAAACTAGACACACACGCGTACGCGCGCAAAAACGGAGTTTTCCTCAAACACGGAGGATTCTGTTACTGTTATAAATAATTAGTTGAAATCATTAATCGAGCAGCGACTCAATAATTAGTCCAGGGCCTTCTGATGATTTTAAGCAACAAACCACATCGTTTCATCGTTATGTAAAACGAGTATTGTACCGGAAACAATCGTATCTGTAGTCCCGACGACACCGTGCACCGCCTTACCATTCGCAACACTTTTATAATATAATTTGGTAATTTTTATACACTTTCCAAATAAACGGATTTGTTGTAGCCATTTCTGCGTTTTGCGCCAAGTCGGCGACGATCTAGGGTGCGTTCAGCGCTGAAAGCGTCATTCTACGTATCTTTTTATCCTTACCTAGGGCCTGGGGCTCGATTTTTCAATTTATTCGAAAGAGAAACTTATACGGGAATTCGCCTCTCACAAAAAAGTTGAAAGTCGATTGGTTAAAAAATACGAATAGCCAATCAACTTGCAACTTTTCTGTTAAAACAGAACTTTTTCCTTCGAATGAATTCAAGACACGAGCCCCTGAACAGAATAGCTGTCTTGTACTCTTAAGACAATGTTTCATGTTTTCAGCCTTTGTCTTGAGGTAACGCACAATAACTGTCTTATGTCTTAAAAGTACAAGACAGCCATTCTGTTCAGGCCCTGACGCACGATAACTGTCTTGTGTCTTAAGAATACAAGACAGCCGGGCCCTTACATGCGGCGAGCAACAAGGATAAAATGATACACCGGGACACTCGGGTGACGTTTAAGCCTATCACACAATAGGAAAGCACAGGCAATAGGAACAGGGAATAACACAGGCAACAGAAATAACTAAATTCCAACTTACTAAAAACAGTGTATCGACGCACAATGGAATATGGAATAGGCAATAGGAATAGAATTTCCGACGCGTTGGATTTCTATTCTCTATTCCCTGTGCCTGACCTACCTGACCAATCACAGTTGAGACTGGGACAGGCACGTGGTTTTAAAATGCAGATGATTGGATAGCACGCCTATTGCCAACGAATCATTGTGTCTTGGCATTATATAGGTTTCTATTCTGTATTTCTATTCCTTATTCCTATCGCCTGTGCTTCCCTATTGTGTGATAGGCTTTACGAACGCAGTCCTATTCTTGTTGCTGACTACGCGTCGAAGAAAGATGGATGACATTTTCAGCGTTAGGGCCTGAGCAGAATGGCTGTCTTGTACTCTTCAAACATAAGACAGTTATTGTGCGTTACCTCGCGACAAAGGCTTAAAACATAAAACATTGTCTTAAGGCTGCCTTAAGAGTATAAGACAGCCATTTGGCTCAGGCCCTTAATAGCGCGCCCCGCGAACGTACCCTTAGCCGGGACGAACGTTCGAGATTCGATATCCGGATACGCGAGTTCCGAGAGCTGGGGCTCGATCATGAATCTCGTCCTCCAGCGTAAACTCGTGAAAAGCGAGAAATTTCATCAACGAGTTCAACATTTGTCAATTTTCACGAGTTCACGCTTGAGAAAAGGATTCACGCCCGAGTCTCCGTTGGGCGTACATCGACGTTGAAATTCCCGCCGCGCGCCGGCGATGGGAAATGGCGGCGCGTTGTTCGCTACTCGCGGGCAGCTTCGCGCGAGACGGCGCGCACGCGCCGAGCGCCGCTGTCATCGCTCGTCGGAGGCAGCAGCGTCGGTCTGGCCAGGAGAGTCCAGTGCGCGAGCGACGAGAACGCGATCAGATGGTGGCGAAGATCGTGGATTGACAGGTCGCGGGTTGCACGAGAGAGTGCGTGCGAGCGGGCGAGCGAGAGAGAGAGAGAGAGAGCGAGTGAGGGAGCGCGCGCGCGCGCGAGAGGGAGACGGAACCAGGCGTTTACGCGACGACGGTTGGCGTTGGGCTCTCTCTCTGGCTGGAGGACGGGTTTTTTCCGTGTGTACTCGCCGCACGCGAGCGAGGAAAAGAAAAGCGACGGAGAAAGAGAGAGAAAGAAAGAGAGAGAGAGCGAGCGAGCCGCGAGTGAGACACGGCGGTCGACGTGCGCGACGGTCTCGTCATCGCGACGACGTTGACGAAATGATCCTCTAGCCTCCCCGTGGCTCCCTTGGCCTGATCCGCGCGAGAAGGGAGGCTGTCGACAGAATTCTCGAAGCAGGAGGTGATCCCCAGGAGGAGGAGGAGGTGTTGGACGACGACGACGACGACGACGACAAGGTGGACGATCCCTCGCGTCTGGTAGTACTCGAGCTTTTTCTTCCGCGGGCAGAGAGCGAGCGAGGGGGCGAGAAGGAGAGACGCACGGATCGCTCGTGCACACGCACGCACGCACACACAGCGACAGCGACAGAGAGGGAGAGAGCGAGAGCGAGAGAGAGAGAAAGAGGGACGCACACGCGACGCTCGCAACGCGCTTCGCGGAGGAGGGAACCGAAGAAAGGAAGAAAAGAAAGACGGACGCAGCGCGGCGCGGCGCGGACGAACGCACGAACGCAGTTTTCACCTCGCGGCGGATTGTTCCACGTCGCGTTCGCCCGCGTCGGCTCGCGAGACCTCGCCTCGCGCACTCGCCCTTCAGTCAGGGTGAGCCTCGCGTTCGCGAGCGCGCCGTCTTTATTATTATTATTTTTTTGTGTTCTTCCCTCCGTCGCGCATCGTGTGCGTCCGTCTTTCTCTCTCTCTCTCCCTCTCTCTGTCTCTCTCTTCCCCTTGTGCCAGTGCGCTCCCCCCTTCGCTCTTGCTGACGCTCGCTCGCGCGCTCTCTATCTCTCTCTCTCTCTCTCTTTCTCTCTCTCTCTCTCTCTCTCTCTCTCGGTACGCTGAATATAACGCTCGTTTTACATTGTCGCCGGACAGAAGTGCGCGTTGCTCGGAGTGCCGGAGTACGGGGCCGCGAGGAGTTGGCGAGGAGTTCGCGAGATCGTTCTCTGTACGCGCGACAAGAGTGATCGACGGGTCGCCTGTCCAGAGGGCCCTCCCGGGGCACGACGGAGTGCCTGTCGGGCTCAGCTGATCCACGCGCAGCGGACGGAGGCGGAGGAGGAGGAGGAGGCGGAGGCGGCGGCGGAGGCGGCGGCGGAGGCGGCGGCGGCGGCGGCGAAGGTGGTGGAAGAGGTAGTGGTGGAGGACGCTACCAGGAGCGCCGCGGGGCGAGGAAGGGCCCCTGCCGAACTCAGCACCGCCGACGATCGAGCTGCACCGATAAATATGTCGTCCCCCAGCGCCGGCAAGCGACGCATGGACACGGACGTTATCAAACTGTATCCTTGGAGAGCCGACCGAGTCCGCGAGAGCCCTTCCCCCGCTCCCCCACGTCGTCGAACGTCCCCCTTTGGCGTCCGCAGCGTGCCTGTGTCCGATAAGTACCTCGTGCGATTCAATAACGCTGGCTACGCGTAGTGGCGGCGCACGTGAGAGCGAGTCGCAATCGCGACGCGCGGCGTGCGTGTGTATGTGTTGCGTATGGGTGGACGTGTTTTATGCAAGGTGCTGAGAAGCTACGCGCGAGTGGACCTCGCTCGCCGATTCCCTCCGTAGATTCCTCGGGTCGGCGCGAAAGGTTCGTTTTCCCGTCGAGCTGCTCGGTATCGAGTTAAGTTAGACTCGTGGGGCACGTGGGGGAAAGATAAGAGCGCTTTTATTATGCAAATCAAGCCCAAGCTATCGATTGTGCGTATTTAGAAGTTCATCGGATCAGCCGTTGTCGAGATCGCAAAATCTGAGGGCCTGTCAACTCGCGTACACTCGCGTCAACCGCACTGTCGGTCTCGCGCGCGGTTCTAGCTACGAAGATTGGAAAATTCTCTGGAGAAGATAGAGCACACGGGAGCGTTCGCGATTTCCTTTTCAACCCGTTGAAATCTGCTTCCCCGTCGGCGAAAGCCGAGCTTCCTCCCAGAAAAATTCGGTCGAGCTTCGTTACATTCGATGCGGGACATGATCGACCGTCGCGTTTAAAATTCCTCTCGATTAACGTCTACTGGATGTAAACAGAAAGATTAGGAACACGTTGGTCGTTTGTGTTTCGAGAAGACTATCTAAAATTCTTCCCAGGCTCTCGCGCTGGAGATTCTTCCCGCGGTCCCCCCCTTCCTTTTCTCTTAATCGCTAATTAAACGGGCAGGTAAATCTACGAAATTATCGACGAAAAGTGTTAGAATATCCGGGAACGGTGATCTAATTGGAGATAATCAAGCGAAACGTCTTCGATCGTTCTTTTTTTTTTGTTTCTGACCAAAGTTTCACGAGAAAGTTTAAAGATTCTTTTCCCCTGCCTCGTCTCTCCGCTCTCGGTTCTCCCAGCGCTCCGTGACCGAGCGTGCGCGTGCACATGTGCACGTGGTGGACTCGCTGGCTCGAGCCCTTATCGTGCACCACAATCGCCGCTCCGCGATCGCCACGTATCGCCGGCGATTAGCCGTCGAGCGATACAGGGGGGGGACAAAAAACTCGCTCGTTTTCGCGCGACGGACATTTAACTCGGTCTCCAAGTCGCCGCTTTGTCGACGTTTCGGCCACAGCTGTTTTTAACCAGCTGACTCGTAGGCGCTTGCGCGTACGCGTTCGTCCGTTCGTGCGTGCGTGAGCGAGCGAGCGGGACGACGCGCTCGCTCGCTCGCTCACGTTCGCCACTCCTTTTGTTTTCCCTCCCTCTCTCTTCCGCACTCTTACTCTCCCTCCCCCCCCCCTTCTCTCTCTTTCTCTCGCGCGCGCGCACCCTTCCTCCTCCTCTCGAAGACACGTTTACACCTGCCTCTGTTATTTATTTGCGATATAATCACGCGTTTCGTGCCGCTATTATCGAAGCGGCCGATGTCACGCCTGGCGATCGCTTCGTCCGAACGAGGCTTCCGTCTCTTTGTCTCCTCGACTGCGCGAAAAGAGAAATGCTTTCGTAACGTCGATTATTGCGTGCGCAACCGAGCGCACGAGGGACCGAGGGTTCGGGTTCGGCAAGCCTCGAGGGCGGATGGCGGATCTTCTTCATTTTTCCTTCCTCTTTCAGCTTTCGCGTCCTTGTCCGTTTCTGTCTCTCTTTCTCTCTCTCTCCACCTCTCCTCCGTTTTCCCTCGCTTTTATTCTTTTCGTTCCCCGTTCTACAAATAGAGCGTTGCTCTCTAGGAGAGGTCTCGGGCCTTCGTTCGAGACTCTCGTCTTGAATTCCGTTCCTCGGGACGGAATCCAGGACCACGGGGACAAAGAGAGACAGACAGACAGAGGCGGGGGACACGGAAAGAGAGCGACGAGAGCGAGGAACGCTTAATTGAGACGTCACACTCGTTCGCGGCGAATTCGAGGCGAGGCGAGCGCGCCTTAGCACGCGCGCGCGTAAAAATAAAGCGGTCGACGACGGTCTCTATGTACACCGGCCAGATCTCCGCCGTACTGACGCACGTAATAGGGACGGGTCGATATGTATTTCGCATGCGGTTCGTCATGCGACGGCGACGAAAAACGCTACCGCGGCGACGGTGCTTGCGAAGGTCAGTTACACCTGGCGATTCCTCCGTCGATCCCGATCGACCACGGGAAAGGGGGAGGGGCGGGGGATTTTTATTCGCGACCATAGACATTGAGCGGTAGAAAAGGGCAAACTCTGTTTTGTGCTATTTCGCTCTCATTCGTTCGCGTGCGAACGCGAGAGGCCGAAATAGCAGAAAATAGAGACTCTGTAATCAGAGACTGGCCATAAGAGTTCGTCAAATTCCCGCGAGTGAGAGAGAAACATAGGCTATCTCGCTCTTCTACGTTTCTACGATCGATAGATGGAGATGGCCTTATGTTTCTCTCTCACTCGCAGGAATTTGACGAACTCTCTTATGGCCAGTCTCTAATTACATGGTCTCTAGCACAAAACAGAGTTTATTTCTTTCTACGTGAACTTCTACCTCCCCCGCTGCTCAAATAGAGGCAAACACTCGGTTATGTACGATCCTCCGATCTGTCTCTCTTCCCGTTCGATTCCGCCGCGAGGCAACGCGCTCTTCGCAGGACTGTCGCGAAACCTAAAAGAGGCGGAGGAAAAAAGTAAAACGGGGATGCTCTTTGCGCGACGTAACGGCGAAGTCCGATAGGCGACCGCCTAGATGTGACGCGGTCTCTTTCCTCCCAGAAAGAGCGAGCGATTAGACCGGCCGATGCGCTCGAGAGATAACACAGATAGAGAGAAGAAAGAAAGTTTAATTAACGCGCCGTTGCGCTGTCCCGTAATCGACGTTTCTTGCTCAACTCGGTAATCTCGCGATACGCCTCGCTCTTTCACTCGCTCGACAGAGAAAGGAAAACGCGCCGCTCCGATCCTCGATAATTCGTCGATAATACCTTCCCCCCCTCTCTCTCTCTCTCTTTCGGTTCCCGCTTCGCTCTTTCCTTTTGCAGCGCGCTTACTGGATTCTTTTTACGCGCGTGTGTCTCGGCAATATAATTCTTTTATTCATCGCGATAAACGCACGGGTTCAAAGGTCGGCTCTGCGGAGCTTCGGGGATTATTACAGCGCGGACTCTCTCTCTCTTTCTCTCCGAGGAGGAGAGCCGCGCTCTCCGGGAGATACGTACGGGGGACGCGACGCGAAATCGATACGCGCCTCGAGAAACACATCGTGCGTTTAATTATCGTACCGGGCAGAATTATCTCGCGGGCGAGCGAGCGAGGCTAACTACGCGATACGTTTACACGTCCCGGCGTGCCACATTACATTGTCGGGACGCGACACGCGAGATGCAGACGGCGGAGAAAAAAAGCAGCGTAACAGGCTTTAAAATAACGGCGAATACCGTGAAAATTGAAGCGAGCAGCGGCCACCGGCGAGCGCGAGTGTCTTCGGTGTCTCAAAGCCTGATCTACAATGTGCTCCTTGGGTCTAGAAACGTTCTATTTTATGTAAGCGAATCAAAACGCTTAAAAACTTTGTCGCCAACGATACGCCTGTAGAATGTGTAATGTACAATTTATCAACTTGCACACACTTTTAAACGTAGAGGAAAGTTCCGTATTACGAGATAGGTCCCTAATACGAGATAGCGGAGTTTCTGCTAAATGAATAGGGATGGTCTATTGGTTCCACCCATAGACATAATATATTTAGACCGAGCGTTTGCCTTTATTTGAGCAGTGGGGGTAGAGGTGCACGTAGAAAAGGACAAACTCTGTTTTGCGCTAGAGACTCTGTAATCAGAGACTGGCCATAAGAGTTCGTCAAATTCCCGCGAGTGAGAGAGAAGCATAGGCTATCTCACTCTTCTATGTTTCTACGATCGTAGAAGAGTGAGATAGCCTATGTTCCTCTCTCACTCGCGGGAATTTGACGAACTCTCATGGCCAGTCTTTGATTACAGGGTTTCTATTTTGTGCTATTTTGCTCTCTCTTTCTCTCGTTCGAATGCGACCGAGAGAGAACAAAATAGCACACAACAGAGTTTGTCCTTTTCTACGTGAACCTCTACCCCTCACTGCTCAATCCTCGGTCTAGATATATATTATGTCTTTGGTTGCACCATGAATTTATTGCCCTCGGAGTGAAATCTGTTTAGCGGAAAATTCATTGTTAGATCGTGTAATTGTTGCGAAAGATTTGTGAATTTGAACGTTGAAAATCTGTTATTTCATATTAGAGGACTTTCCTCTATTTACTGGCTACAAAATAGAACGTTTCTAGACGCAAAGAGCATATTGCAGATTAGGCATAGGTGCAAAAGCATACACATAAAGAAATTGACTGGTCCACTTCCTTATGCATGACCCAATCAGATTTCTTGTGCGCTTTGCAAATTTGTCTGGATAGACTCTTAACCGTTTCATGACTACTGGGACGCACGAATCTCTCTCACTTACTCCAAACTCTTTTGCCTCTGGGTTGCTCGAGAAGCCGGTGTCCCAGCAAAGTCGAGAACGAGAAATAATTCGGCCGCGGAAGGGTCAAAGAGACCGACGTGAAAATCTTTCGCCTAGCGTCTTATTATCCACCGTTAAAGATACCCCTTGAATTTTATTTTTATAATTTGATATCTTGGCGAGCCACGGAAATGACGCAATCGATTCCCGATCGGCGAACGAAAGTCCTGAGTTTCTCGCGGTTCTCCGTTGTAGCTTAAGCCTGATCTACAACGCGCTCTTTGCGTTTAGAAACATTCTATTTTATTTCAACAAATCAAAACGCTCAAAAAACATTGTCGATACAATATACGTTTGTACGATGTACAATTTTTCAACGTGCACGTATTTTCTGGCTACAAAATAGAATATCTCCAGACGCAAAGAGCACGTTGTAGATCAGGCTTTACGGGGTCGAACGGCACACGCGCGTGCCTCTCCGTTCTTCAGCGTCTCTCCGTGAGACGCGGTCCGCTCGAGGATTATTCTCGTGCGCGCGCGCATCGCAGAGTGGACCTCTCAATCGCGCGCCGCACGCATCAACGCCTCATCGCGCCTAATTTTACCGTAACACCGCCGGTATTCGGTAAAGCCTCGTGTCCGCGGTCCAAGAACCGTGTCCAAGTTCTAGTTCCGAGAAACGCGTAGCCAATCAACTTGCATCTTTTACGGAAAAGTTGCGAGTTGATTGGCTACGCGTTTCTCGGGACTAGAACTTGGACACGGTTCTTGGATCGCGGACGCAAGGCTTAACAGGTGGAATAACTCGCGGCTTGATAATCCAATTTACATCGCGCTTCCGGTGTCGCCAGGTCGCGCTCGGCGTAGCTCGTTAGCCCTTTCGCCGCGGCGTATTAAATTCGCCTTTCTCGCGGTTACGGCTAAGCGAGACGGCTAATTCGCCTTACGATTATCGCCGCGACGCGACGTGGCACGCGGCTCCGCGCGCTTTTCGTGCTTGTACGTGCCCGCCGCGGAAAATGGACGATGTTACGAATTAATGCGGTCGGCAAAGAGTTACGCGATCGATCGTTCGTTCCTCGATTCTCCGGAAGAGACACCGACGTGTCTCCGAGTTATCGCGAAGACTTCTCGATCCGCGACGAACGTAAAGAGTGAGTCATTAGAAACTGCGTAGAATAGCTAATTTATCTCGTTATCTACTTAGCTCGATTTTATTAATCTCGTTTGTTTAAGTAAGCGTTGGAATTTAGAAATCACGTTGTGTGACACGTTGAATTTGTTTCTTGCTCTCTCACATTTTCCTTTCAAACTTTTAGGCCCGGTTTTTCATTTTCCGATTAACCGTTGACCAGAGGTCGAGCGATTCCCTGTCTCTTCTTGGGTAATAAGAAATCTTAGATAATAGAAAAAGTCAATCAATCTCTGGATAACCAGCAAGTGAAAAACCGGACCTTAAACGCGTGACACTTCATGTCTACTCTCTAAAAGTCAATCAGTGCACTATCACTGAAAACAATGACAAGTATAACACTGAATAATTCAATGGTATACGGGGAGAATTTTCTTTTAATATTTATCCTAAAAACATGTAATCGTGGGACAACGTGGCATTTTAAAGAACTTTACGAGAGTTTTCTGAAATTTTACCATACATTTTACTAGTAAGAGGTATAGTAAATTTCAAAAAACTTTAAAGAACTTTAGGAGAGTTTTCTGAAATATTACTATACATTTTACTAGGAAAACGTACAGTAAAATGTCCAAAACTCTCATAAAGTTCTTCGAAATGCCACGTTGTGTCACGATTACACGATTTTCAGGATTACGAGAAAATTCTCTCTGTGTACTTATACAGTGAATATTCACTATTTTCAGCGACAACCCACTAATTGATTTTTAAAGAGTACACGGAAAGACCGGCTAAGGCAACAGTAACTAAAATTACAATATTGCCGTATAAATAGTGGGGGCATCTACATTGTTTTGTGTTGCAACGTTCACTGAGTTTGCCGCACAAGGCGCATCTGGTTGCCTCCGCTGCTTATGGGTGTGACAACCACAGATATAGCTGTCCCAAATATCACTATTTATTGGGGTTATGCCAACCCTAATTAGACATGTGGTAACCATATCGGTCTCTCCGTGTACCTAAGTTTTCTTCCCTCCGGTGAGTGCGGCGCGTGAAAAATCGCGTGCCGCGGAATAATATAACCGGACACGACTCGGCGTGTCGGGTGAACGGGTGTTCGCGATCGCGAAACGGTCGCGGCCGGGTCGCCTTATCTCCAAGAGGACAGCGCACCGAATTCTGTCTAGCTACCGATAAACGCGCCGTGTTTATCGCGATATCGAGGCCAACGGAGAGACCGGCCAGACGCGCGTGCGGGCGATATATCTCGGGGAATATTGAGAACGTTTACTTTTTCGCCGATTCCGCCGCCGTAATTACCGGCGCCGCGATCCAAGCGCGCGATGTTTACGATGTCGCGATATTTCGGAGTTAGGGCCTGAGCAGAACCTTTGTCTTGAGGCAACGCACAATAATTGTCTTACGAGGGTGGGTTGGAAAATTTTGAGCCTCAACATAAAGATGGCATTGCTTGTCGTCGCCACTTCAGTACTGCGACTGTACATGCTTTGAAGGATATATCTAAAAATTGCAGTCATTTTGATCTCTCAGATGTTGTACGACAGTCCTTTGTGCCAATGGATGTTAGTACTTTCGTAAACATGGAAAAAATGGAATATCGGGCCAAAATTTACGAATCGCAGTTCGAACTGATTGACCACTCCCCGTATTCACCAGATCTAGCCCCCCCCCCCCAGTGACTGTTTTCTGTTTCCTAAACTCAAACTTTGGCTCGGAGGACAGAAATTTTCATCGAACGAGGAGGTCATAGCATCCGTAGATGCTTATTTTGCACAGCAAGACGCCAACTATTATTTGGACGGGTTAAAGCGGTTGGAGCATGGCTGGATTAAGTGTATCGACTTAAAAGGAGACTATGTCGAAAAATGAAAGTGAGTTTGACAAAAACAATCTTTCTACGTTAGGCTCAAAACTTTTCAACCCACCATCGTTTGTCTTAAGAGTAGAAGACAGCCATTCTGCTCAGGCCTTTAAGCCCGTATCACACTACGTATTGCGGATCACGGATCGGATTGAGATTGCGGATCGCGGATCGCAATTCAACCAATCGGATTCGAGGCTGTCTCGTCTGACTGGCTGAAATCTGATCCGTGATCCACAATACGTACACTGACAAAAAATTGTTTTAAACAAAGTAAATAGATTTACTTAAAATTATGTTTTTACTGAAGTAAATATTTATTTTATTAAAATTAAAATATCAAATTTCAAGTAAATCTGTGTAATATATTAAGTAACTTAATTTAAATCATTGCATTTTCTACATTCAACTAAAAATTTCATGAGATAGAGAATACTATTTATTAAATGAAATCATTGTTTTTGTCAAATAAGAAATCCCATTTTCTTCGCTGTAAAACGTATGTCTTAGTAAACATTTTATAGAATTAAAGTAAAATTTGTTAAATTTAAAATTATCTACTGTTTGATATTTAATAAATACTTAAATTAAAGAAATGCATGTTTTAATTTGTTTATTATTTTTTAAATTTAAGTTAATAAGCTATTAGGAGCCACCTGATGAGTAATTTTCTTCAGTAAAGCAATACTTCTTTTATTAAAATATTTTTTTATCAGTGTAGTGCGTCACGGGCTTTAATCGCGCGCGCATCGATATTTCTAAGACCGGACGGCGAGAGCTGACCGTAAATTGCGCGACATCTCTTATTTTGCGAATTGCGCGGAGTGTCGCGTCGCGCGAAGCGCACGATGCGCACGATGCGTCCGCTCGAAGCGAGTCGTTTGCGCAACGGGAGTCCGCGAGGTCCGTCCTCGCCGAGGGAGAGACGGACACGTAGCGGCGCGTCCCCAATAATTCAGACCCACCTCCCAAGATTTCCGGCCGTCCCTTGAAAATTGGATGAAGTTATTTTCGAGTAAACGGGGGGAGGGGGATTAAAGACGCGTGACAGCCCCGGACAATCACGATAGCTTCCTCGTGCGATGCGCGAGTTCTTTCCTCGTGCCGCGATATCGATCACGCCGGCTGTGTTGAAGCGTGGCATTAATGCTGCAGGCCTCCTCGAAACGAGCGAAGCAAATTGGATGCGTCCGCGTCCGCGTCCGTTCCGCTAGTGCGTTTCAGAGTTTCTGGAAAGTCTTTCGCTCCCGCGCGTCCACGGCGAATGTATTAGTCATAGCCGGTGACCAGGTTTATTTTGAGCCGTCCACGCTCGCTCGCCGCGCGTTACTCCGATATCCGCCGATAGTCGCCACTCGTTTCCCTCTTTCTCCGCCGACTTTTGTTATTTCGCTTTCGACGCGACGACCGGTGTCGCGAGATATCGCGAGATTATCGCGCGCATATCTCGAATCACCCATTCTCCTTTTAACAAGTCTCATTATTACGGCCGACTCGCTCGATCTCCTGCGCTGTTAAAAATTAAACCTTCGCCTCTTATTGCTCGCGAGCGCCGACTGTTTTCTCGAAACAAACCCAGGCTCTAATTGATCGATTAGCCGACAGTAGGCTCGCGTGCATTTTTATCCCCGTCGTATTTTCGTCCGTCATTTTTCTAGGTCTTGCAAAGATCCCGCGCGCGCGCGAGAACGTAGTCGCGATATACTTTTTTTTTTTCGTTATTTTCCACGGTGGCGAGCATCGGCGCGCAAAAGTCGCGGCCCACTTTGCTCAGCGAATTTGCCTATACGTATCGCGCTTTATACATGTTTTATATACTCAGCTGAATTACAAAGTTCCGCGTAATACAAAGCACTGACTAGCGACGTGAGTACGCGCGTGCACTCTTTGTCTTCCTTCCTCGTTGCCTCGCTCGCCCGCCAGCTGATCGACCTTACCGCGGCTTCCCCCACCGTCGCCGCCGCCTTCATCGTCGTCGTCGTCGCCGTCGCCGTCGTCGTCGAGGAGCTTCTGCGTTTCCTGCCTTTCCCTTCTCCGTGCCTAGGCACGCGGACGTTGTCGCTTGATTCATACCGCAAAAGCAGATAGACCGACAACGCGGAGACGGGGACCTTGCGTTTACCGTCGCCGCGTAACCGCGTGGGAAGAGCCCGATCGCCTTATCTCGCGCCTCGGGATGTCCCAAGACCCGATCGAGAGATATTTCGAGAACGGAGGAATCTACAACTTGCGGCGAATATCTCGAAAACTATGCCGCACTCTCTCTCTCTCTCTCCTCTCGCTGTTTCACGTTAAAATTCGACGAAGCGAAGTCTAGTTTACCGAATCAGCCGTGGAATCGGATTTTATCGTCCGTTCGGGTTCTCGAAAATTGCCTGAAATTCTTATCGGCGTTTAATCGATCGCGCCCCGGCGAGCTGCGAGCTTATCGACGTCGAGGCGATCTGGCGTGATTTTCGGCGCACTCGCGACACGCAGACAAATCGGGAGAAAGACGCAGCGATTTCAGGATGCACTTATTGCGCGTCGGAAGATAACGATCTTCCGAAGGCCTCGCTAAGATGACGGAAATGCGCGGGCCCGAGGCGATTACGCGACACGTTCACTTCTAACGGCGTCCCCGAAGTCGGGATCCAAGGACCGCGGATCGCGGATGGTATCTAATTAGAGTAATTAGGCGCGTTTCCCTCTTTCTCTCTCGTTTAATGCCGATGACGCGCGGCCGTGGGAAGCGGCAGGGAAAACGACGGTGCGCAGCAGAATTTACGGTCTTTTGCGTTTTCGACGCAATGCGAGCGCGTAATTGAAGACGCCGCTCTTTATTATAAATATAGGGATAAGTTTCTCGCTTTCTCCCTCGCTCCCTCCCTCCCCGCCTGCCTCGCCTCTCCAAGCGAGAGAGCAGTCGAGAGTCGGCCGTATGTTAAATTATCGTTCATTACGCAATACTTATTTGTCGCCTGGGTACGCGCCGAGAGTTAATGCCGCGCTTTCTTTGAAGACTTTACAGTTTCCCGCCGGTATTCCCACTGTTTAGCGTACGGATGATTGGTCTTCCTATATATAGAAAAGATCGCGCGGTATAACGATAATAACTCCGTTTTACTCCGCTCTAACGCGCGCGGCAGCGCGTCTAGAAC